AACCCTATACCGGACGACCACCTCGTACGCGTAGCCGTCCTGCCCTGCCGCACCGTCATCTTTGTCAGTGCCGTCGTCATCATAGTCCCGCCAGCTGTGGAGAGGGCTGCGACAGCATTTTCCGGCGGCTGCCTACCGCTCGCGGAGGAACCGCTCCACCTCCTGCTGCGTAGTGTAGTACCGTCGTGGCCACTATCGACCTGGCCTTCGGAGCCATGGCGGTAGCCTTACCACGGCCGGCATTGGTGGAGGAGTCGCTAAGCAACCACTCTTCGCCGATCTTGGCGATATCGCCATCAAGGCGGCAGCGGCGCCTGGTGGACGTCTCCACGGCGGCACGTCAGGGTCATTGCAGACCCAAATCGGCGCCATGTCGCTCTTGGCAACCGCTGAGCGGCAATTGGCATTGCGCCGGTCGTATCTCGCCTCCTGCCGAGCATCGCGCCCCGCCTCAAAGACGACAGCCCTCGAGCCCGAGGCACCACTGTGACCGCCTCCTCCGAGGCAGTGGAGGAGGCGGCCCCGCGCCTTCTGGATCGCGGGTGGCAACTCCTCCTTGACGGGGAGGCGGTGGTGGTGCGGCGGCGACAATGGCGCGTCCATGCGGCTGTACCGGCGGCGTGGCGGGGAAGCCGGCTCCTCCTTGATCCGGTGTCCGATCTGGACGCCGCGGTGGTGCGGGGACGAGGCCGGCTCCTCCTTCACGTAGCGTTCGATTAGGACTCTGTGGCTATTCTGGGGCGAGGCCCGCTCCTTCTTCATAGGCCAGAGCGGGGAGCTCGTGCTTCACGTGGTGGCGTGGCGGGGACAGCAGCTCCTACTTCACAAGCGTCAACGATGGCGGTGATGGGCCTATGTAATGAAGCGAGACCGCTCCGTCATTATCTCAATCTGATGAACGAAACCTTCGCCATCAGAGCATCGTCCTTGAGGAGCCGGGCGGCTGCTGTGGCGGCGCATGGTCCTCCTCATCACCGGAGGAGATGACGATCGCCTCCTTGGTGGAGGAGCCGGCCGCCGTGGACGTCGAGGGTCCGGAGAGTGTGGGCATGAGTGGCAGCGCCGAGAACCGTTGGAGGAGGAGCATCCAGCTACTCCACCTGCCGGCGCGGAGCACCATGACTTCGACATCGCCTTAGTTCGGATCAAAGAGGAGCAGGGGCTCTGACACGGAGACGGGGGAGGAGAGGAGGCCGGTGCTCGTGGAGTGGGAATATGGCTCTGTGCGTTGCTGCTACACGACCTAAATAGCCATGGCGAGGCCCCGGCGAAGGGGCGGTAATCCCGCTTCAATGCAGCGCACCGGCCGGGATTGGTTCCTCGGAAAGTTGCGTTTACATTGAAACGGCTGCTCCTAAGAGGTCGCTTCGGATAGTGCCGCCCTTCGTCCAGTCACATCGCGCAAGCCGCTCAGGTTGGAGATGCCGTTATAAGAAAAATATAAATAGCATCTATGATGTTATAGTTTCCACCCGGAGTAGTGTGACTACGCTAGTCAGTCCAATTTACCGACGGCCATTAATAGAAGAGCTAGCCTCTACAAAAGCTGAGCGAGTCCAACATCGAGTTTCCAGAAAGATTTTATTTGACTAGAAAATATCTTCTTTGTTTGAATTATGGATGTAATGCTTAGAGGATGGTGAGCTGTACCTTTCGTCATGAGCCACCGACGCGGCCCTATATTCCTCGATAGAAGCACGTGCCTTTTCCTGTCAGAGAATAACAGCAAAAATATTGTATAGTTGACTGTAAAAAATGAAACACCATAACTGCTTTGTGGACTGTTTATGATATAGTGCGATCCGCAGAAAACCTTTGAACACGAAATCAACACGCCATGACACACTGGTTTGCTTGTTAGGTGTGCTTGGTTCGTGTGATGTGAGTCAGTACTCTTCTGTGATGATTAATATATTAGGAAACTCTACGGTACCCCACATGCCTCCTCAGACAAATGATGATTAACCATTAATTGATTAAGAACAATTTGGACATACATGTAGCTAGCTTAAAAAAAATTAAACACACTTACTCCTCTCATTATTGTATATACCTTGTTTTTAAAAGAGAAATTCTGTTTGGCCATGTTCTCTTAGTATGCAAAATAAATATGCACAATAGAAACATCATTTTGTGAGTTAGTCTCCACGTAAGAAAGCTCGGTGCAGTGCAGTACAATATTGTTATTGGATGGAAACATTTTCTTATCAATCAAAATATAGTCCTACAAAAATATGATCGCCCCCCATTTATATATCATTCATTTCTTATTATTTACTTCCCAGTGTGCAAAGTCTAATTTACAGCCTCTTACTAAGAGGTAATATTAAACTCATATGAACTTACACACAGAATTAAATTAAAAGGATGTTCTAAATCTGGTCTGGCAAGTCTACAACCCATGGTGCAGACATGTATAAGCAAATACTCACTCCGTCCGGAAATACTTGTCATCAAAATAGATAAAAGGACATGTAAATAGACGTATTTTAGTTCTAGATACATCCCTTTTTATTGATTTTGATGACAAGTATTTTCGGACGGAGGGAGTACATTGTCTAACGAAACTACAATAATTAGTATCCTAAAAAACTACAATAATTAGTGAAGTTAGACAGTAAATGAGAAAATTATAAATTTATCAAAATCATTAGGGGACTAGTATTTGAAATGCACAAATGGGTTCAAAATCAAACTTTGCAAGGTTACGAAGAAAATAAGGAAGAAAATACTTTCACTTACTGAATATGTATTACTTCAAAAGTGTGAATTACTGTAGTTACCTCGAGTGCTTCCAATGCTACCACCTTCAGTTTGGGCATGTTTTGATTCATACCAATCTCTTTCTCCATCACATTCATCACACTATTAATCTTCTCCGTGTGGCCTTTCCTGAAAGTAACCTCGATACACTCAAGCGAAGAGAGGTTCTCTAAACCCAATACGAAATCACCAAACTGGACCAATGTATCCTGCACATCATCAAAGTGTAACTGAAGTGTTTGAAGACTTTGCATGGCTCCGCTTGCAAACTTTAATTTCATGGTGTCACTCACGACACTGAAGCTCTTTAGACACATAAATGTAGAACCACTGTCAGCGACCAACCGTTTCTCTCTGCCTTGTGTAAGTTTCTCCACTAGAATGTGCAGGTAAGTGAGAGATGGTAAGCTCCCGAGGACTTGAAGGTCCTCCTCTCCTAGTGTTTTCAATGTGATACTTAGGGAGAAGAGGAAAGACATAGAGCCCATCCACTTTGGCACTGCACAAGAAATGCTACCAAGCATGTGGACTAACAAAAGTCGTGTTAGTTCAATAAAGGTTGCTGGCATCTCTTCTTCTATTTTGGTGGACCTTATGTCCAACACTTGTAGAAATTGTAGGTTCCTGATCTCTTCCGGGATCTTAGTGATAGATGTACCCTTTAAACTCAAATACCTTAGGTGAAACAAATTGCAAACATACTTCCAACGATTATTATCCACTTGCTCACAATCAGTTAAATCCAGAACACGTAGGGCTGGAAAACTAGAGAGTGTTGGCAACAAACTGAAGGCTGGATTAGACACAACAAGTGACCTCACATGGGACAAGTTTATGCTTAGCAGCTGATTAGCAACTTCTTCAATATTGATCTGGACAGAGAGTCGGCGAATCTTACTTGGTAGATACATTGAATGCTGAGAACCTACTGTTATTAGGAAATTCTCCTCATTTGACAAGGAGGTGATGAGGTCATGCACCATATCATGTACACGGCAAGAGCGCACTTTATTTGCAATGTCAATTTGTACAAGTTGGACCAAGCCTGTATTGATGAGCTCGTCAACATAATCCTCTCCTACTTCATATAAGCTCCTCCCCGGTCCTTTTTCCACAAAACCTTCACCGACCCATTTCCATACCAATTGTTCAGTTTTAATCTCATAACCCTTTAGATACGAACTGAGATGCAGTAAACAAGTCTTCAAGTGTGCAGGTAGGTCATAATAACTGAGTAATAATATCTTTCTCATGTTCTTCACATCATCATGAATAAAGTCTAGTCCCATATCCATAGATTGGTACACCATGGACCAATGCTCCTGTGTATGTTCTCTTCCCTTTTTACTGGACAGAAAACTCCCAATTACAATGATAGCTAATGGCACTCCACCACATCTTCCTAAAATCTTCTCAGATAATTCAACCAATTTATTAGACGGTGAATGATTCTCAGTCTCATATATTCTTTGGTAGAACAACTTTCTTGAGTCAGCAACAGAAAGAGGTTCCAGGAGATAAACATTGCCAGCTTGTTGAGCAACATCAAGAATGCGAGTTGTTGTGATTACTCTACTTCCATGTTCATTCCCAGCCAAAGCATATTTGATGTTTTCCCAGACGCATGTATCCCATATGTCATCAATAACAATCAAGTACCTTCAATAAATACCAGAAGACAGATATTATAAACCTATTTTAGTTCCCATACTTTGATCAGAATGGAGATTCGTAATAAAGTTCAACAACATAAATAGCAAACATAAACATTGAGAGCTGTAATAAAGTTCCATCTTCCTTGTGAAATTCATATACAAAACAACGAGGGAGGAGCACATATGTACCTCTTGTTTGCAAGAAATGTTCTTATCTCACAAATGAGTTGTACTTCGCCCCATGTTGCCTCATTGATACACTTGTACTTGTGCTTGTCAAGTTGACGGAGCAAGCTCTTGAAAATTTTCTCCATGTTAGGATCAATACACACACAAATAAAAGCCGTACATTCAAATTGAAAATTCCAATTTTCAAAATCAAATTGCGCTTTGAGCTTCTCATACACTGCATTAGCAAGAGTTGTCTTGCCTAATCCACCAGATCCAACTATAGATACCACCTTCATTTGATTCTTGGAAACCTTGTCTCCCTCCTTCAACATGTTGATTACCTCAAGGCTCTTCTCGTATGTGCCAACGAGCTCGTGTGCCTTTCTATACAAGGTTGATAAGCGAAGGGTATCAACTAATTGTCCACCTGGCTTGGCAAAGGTCTCGCTGTCAACACTTTCCGATCCTTCAAGCATATTAATAATGTTCACTATTGGAGGCCTCTTGGTGCGATCAGGATTTACACACATTAGACCTACTTGGAGGCATCTTTTTATCTGTTCGCAATCTCTTTCTAGGGATTCATGCTCTGGTGATCTCTGTAACACTGTTCTCCATTTCTCAAGCGCCTGTGGGTTCAGAGCAAACGTCAAGAATGTTATTGTGCTATATAGGTAAAAAAACGACATCGTGTCTCCTAAACAAAGACCTCCATTTTGAAATTTGTGACAACAATTTCTTACATGCTCAATATAGTCATTTGGAGGTGTTCTAGTTACATCCGGGTAGTCCCTGTGTCCTGTTACTACCTCCATGATTATTACACCCAGACTGAATATGTCTGATTCTGTTGTCACTGTACCTCCATGTAAAAATTCAGGCGCCATGTAACCACTGAGAATCACAACACAAATAAAATTTTGAACTGTTTGAGTGGCCGTAATGAAAATACATATTTCTTATTAATAGAGTGAATGCTATTAAAAAGAGGCATTAACTTACAATGTTCCATCGCGAGATGAGGTGCAAATAGTTTTTTGCTGATCAAGCAATCTTGACAGACCAAAGTCTGTAATTTTCGGCTCCATACCATCATCGAGCAATATGTTTGGAGGCTTCAAATCCAGGTGAATAATAGGCATGTCAATTTCTTCATGAAGGTGGCATAAACCATAGCAAATCCCCTTGATTATATTGTAGCGTGTGCTCCAATCAAGTCCAGAAGATTCATCTGCAATTGTAAGCAAAAGAAGAGCATTTTGAGACACAGTTTACGTGAAACCATATGATTGTTGTTCTCTAGATAGTATACAGAAGGGCTGCAGAACTTTGTCGAATATACACTGCCACACTGGTAACAGAATCACATACAGATCCACCGTAGCACTTGGTATATGTGGATAAAATATAGTTCTTTTTATAACTATCCTCAAAGTTTTTCAAACTTCACGAGTTACAATCTTGAAGGAATATGGAACCGAGAAACAACCTGATAGATACTTATCAAGGCTTCCCTTTGGCATATACTCCAAGCACAGTAGCCTTTCTGCCATCTCTGCAAAAACATATTTCCCATTGTAAAATAAACGCTCATACCGTGTTTCATAGCAGTAGCCTACACATCGCACTATGTTTGGGTGCTTGAGCATCATAAGATGATCCATCTCGCTCTCGAATTTCTTCTGCAGGTCTGGCATTAGTGACGACATGATCCTCTTTATGGCAATTGTTTCCCCATTTCGCAGCGCTCCCTGCTCGAGTTTTCAGATGGAGTGTAGTTACAGAAAAAAAAAAGTTCGAAACAACAGAAATAATCGATGGTTTACCTTGTATACAACACCAAAACCACCTTGGCCAATTATTCGCTCGTCAGAGAAGTTATCTGTGATCTCTTTCAAATCTTGCAGCAGTATGCCGTGTGGTCTCGAGCTCTCCTCTTGTATTTTGGTCTCCATATTGGCGACGGGACCATCACAGTCATCATCGTACATGGTGCCCGGTTTTCCCACATGGCGGCTGAACTTGGGCGCCATGATACCAAGAGTTGGGCCAGTTGACCTGGCAGCAGCCACACTGTCAACTCTGTACCTATTGTTAGATGTGTAGCCATTCCTCCAACACCTATCACGCCGCTCACTGACCTCCTTGATGCGGATCTTGATGTCTTTGATATCGATGCCGATCTTGTGGCGAATCTTGCCCTTGCTCAGCAGGCTGAGGCTCTTATCAATGAACTCCCTGAAGCTGTGGGACTTCTCTGGTCCATGGGTTTCAGTGCGCACCATGAACTTGTCGATGCTATCTTCCAGGTCATATGACAAGTCCCTCACAGCCTTGGCCCAAAGCTTGACTTGGATGTCCGGTGGCTGGTCGATTGGCGCCTCAGAAATCCTGAGGAGAACGGTCTCCATTCTCTCCATCTCGGCTTTGAGGAACATGATCTCACCCCTGACACCCTTGTGAAGTTTGTAGTGCTCCATGAGCAGTTCAGCCAACTTGGGAAGGAGGGTGCCCATCGCTCCGATCACAACCTCAGACATGCTCGGTGGCGTGATAGCTCAGCCGGTTGCTGGTTTCTGTGCTGCGGGAATATGTTGATGGCGATCTGCTGAGTGGATGAACCGCAACCTTAGCTTCTTCGTGTACCGCACCACCTAAAGAATCACAACATGATTAGTCAGGACTAACAAGTCAAAACATCAGTAAAAATGAATCAGAACGGATTTCTTACGGATCAAACACTCTTGCTGCTATCGGGAAGGGGGGATGGAGACCTGCCCATTGGATCTCGCGCTGAGGACAGAAAGGTGGAGCGTGAAGCTGCGAGTGCGCTGAGGAGAGAAAGGTGTAGCGTGAGGAAATGTTGGCAAACCTGCAGCTCGGTCTTAGTTTCAGAGCAGATATACAGCAATCTGAAAGAAGGAAAAAGGTGGTAAATGAATCGTTTGAGAGCAGAAATGTCAAGACATTTTGCATCAAATGACAGATCAACAACACACTTTGACATGTTTTCTACGCCCTCCGTTCCTAAATATAAGTTTTTTAGAGATTCCATTATAGACTATATACAAAGCAAAATGAGTAAATCTACACTCTGAACTTTGTCTATGTACATCCGTATGTAGTTTGTAGTGGAATCTCTAAAAAGACTTGTATTTAGGAACGGAGGGAGTAATAAGTAGCATGATGGAACATAATGCTGGTTGTTGTGGGATCCAGCGGCGCGGCGGCGTTCTCGCTGGGCGGTGGGGTGGCCTGCTGGTGGCGGCGCTCCGGCTCCCTTCATTCCGTACGCGGTGGGGCGGCTGCGTTGCTCCCATCTCGGGAGGTGGCGCGCGACCGGTCTCTTGCCGGATCCGCCCAGATCTGGCGTTGGGGGCCGACCGGCGGCGCGTGGCTCCGGTGGTGCGTGTCCGGCGGCTCTGGTGCTTGGAGGTCGTCGGGCGACGCGGGTAGGGCAGCGGTCGGGCGTGGCCGCTGCTCCGGTCGTGGGCGGCGGCGTGGGGAGGTCTCGGTGGAGACCTCTCGGTGTCGTGGCGGCTTCACAGTGGCTGGACGGATCTTTCTGCGGCAGCGGCCGGCTTCTCCGACGTCGGCTCGCCGGTGGTCGGGCCATCTCGACCTTCACCCCATCTCCTCCTCGCCCGGGCGCTTCTCCCATCAAGGGGCTAGTCCTCTCCCAGCTGCGATCCATCGCTTGTCTCGCGCCCGGTGCCGCAGGACCGAGCTCGTCTCGCGCACGATGCAGCAGGACCGAGCTCGTCTCTCGCACGGTGCAGCAGGACCGACCTCGTCCCCCTCTCGATGCTGCAGGACCGAGCTCGTCTCGCGCTAGGGGCAGCAGACGGGTCGGTGGATGCCAGTTCTGGCCGACCTATCGGGTCTCGACGCTGGGGGTGGCCCAGGGGCGCGAAAGGTGAGACCTTTCCGCTCGTCTCTTTCGTTGGGGTGCGGCGGGTCTCGGGTGAGGTGGTGTCGAGGTCTTGGATGTTGGGGCGGCGGCCCTGGTGGTGGTTGCGCGGTGCTCTTGGGCAGAGCCCGTGCCTTGGTGCTGCCCGGTCACCATGGTCGTGTGGGCGGCGTGGTTGCCGGGGTGTGGCGGTGATGGTTGGTCAAGGTGAAAACCTGCTCTATTTTCGGACGGACCGGCGGCGGCGAAGATGGTTCCCTTTTTGAAGGCGTCGTCGCGGCTCTCATTGCCCGTCATGCGGCTCCGGAGGAAACTCTGATCCTTGGATCGGGCGGTGGCGGCGCTCCAGTGTCGTGTCCTTCCTGAAGGCGCCGTCTTGGAGCGCATGGTTCGTCATATGTAGTCTCACCTCTTCGGGGCCGTAGTGCTAGTGGTGGTGTTGCTACGCTCAGCGCCTATGTATCCTGTCCTGGGTGTGTGCGTGTGTTGCGGTGGCGTGGCGTGTGTTTGTCTGGATGCTTGTGGTTTGATGCTTTATATATAAAACGGGGCGAAAGCCTTTTTCGGTAAACGTGATTAAGAAGCAGCACCATCAGTTTCTTAAGTTAACAAGAAAAATGAGCTACGCATTGGTATGTTTCAGAACACAACATGCGAGAAGAGCATATGCAAGAGCGCCCAACTTAAGAGTATCGAAAAAAATTCCAGGGAGAAGAAGAAGAAGGTGATTACCTGGAGTGGCTTGAGAAGCCCTGCTGCGTGCAGGGACGATTCCAAGGGGGGGCTACGTACAATAGTGATTAAGCACACGGCTTAGTAGACTCTGAAGCCCATCTTAGAAGGCCTCAGCAGGAGTAGCCCACCATCGAAAAAGACGGACACGCTCAGGTCGTATCCTTTTCTTCCCCTCGAGCACGTCTAGGTCATAAGGCAGTTCTCGATCTAGCGCCGCCCAATGTTTTCAATCTAAGAAGGGGGCGAGGCGATCCTTGTGTGGCCGGCCGCCGGCCGGATGCACAGCCAACATGAGCAGCAACGAGCAAAGGAAAAAAGGGTTAGTCACTCCCTTCTCTCATTCTCATTACTTAGTTGCTGTCCGATCTTACAAAATAAGATTAATCTCTCCTGAAAACTGCAGAAAGTACAACCCTAGAAAACTAATTAGGGATTATTTTCGATCCATGAGAAAAGGTTTTGCATCGTTTATCCCCCTATGGTAGAAAGATTTAGTTCATTAACATGTCAATTGCCTGTGTTTTATGATAACTTTTGATGAAAATTGAATTGTTTCAGAGAGCTCACACTTATTTTCTTCCTTTGATGAAGATTAAGTTCAGTATAAATTCGCCAAAAAAAATCAT